TTTCCTTTCAAGATGGTTAAAAAGGGATTTTTATACAAATAGTCAATTATATTTATTATTTATTTTTTGTAGTTATATACATAAATTATATATCTATCTATATCTATATCTATCTATATTATTATAAAAGCATGAATACGATGTCGGATTACAAAAATAACCTTAGAATATTAAGCATAATAACTCATAAAAAAGGATATAACCGGAATTCTAGATATTAGTCTTATAATCCTATTAGTTTTAGGACATAATACTACACATTATGAATCCTACATGATTACCTTTAGGAATGCTCTTAGTATAATTACTTTCGGGCATAGCCATATAATATTACACGTTGTACATACATCTCAACATCTTTTATGTTTTGTTTAATAATTTAAGTACAAAAAAATCTAAAAGGAGCGTGTATAGCAAGCTTCAAACAATTGTGGGACTTACATGTCGTTTATAAAAAAAAAAAAAGGAACTTTCGAATAGTATTTTAAAAAATCCATTTATCATAAAACGACTAAAATGTCAAGTTTAAAGTGGTAATTATATTCATACTTCACTTCAAAGTCCTTAATATTAAGTTATTTCTAACTTAATTTGTGATAGACTACAACATTTTGCCATTGTTCAAAATTTACGCACAAAAAATAATTGAGGCCATTAGCAAAACGGTTTCATTCTAGAATTATAATTTCAATTAATGTTGGGGCATTTGCATCTATACCCGTTTTTTGTGCCACATTTTAACTTGTGCCCGCTTTGCAAAAAAAATTGCAAGTGTACCCGCTTTTTCACATAACTTCAGCCCACGGGGCTGAAGTTTTTCTTTTGTACTGGAAAACTTCAGCTGAAGTTTTTGTCTTTGTAACCGGAAAACTTAAGCTCTAGAGCTTAAGTTTTTCAGTTATAAAATAAAAACTTAAGCAGTTTTCCAGCTTAAGTTTAAGCAGTTTTCCAGTTATAAAATAAAAACTTAAGCTCTAGAGCTTAAGTTTTTCAGTAATAAAATAAAAACTTAAGCTCTAGAGCTGAAGTTTTTCTTTTGTACTGGAAAACTTCAGCTCTAGAGCTGAAGTTTTTGTCTTTGTAACTGGAAAACTTCAGCTCTACAGCTGAAGTTTGCCAGTTATAAAATAAAAACTT